TTTCAAGGTCGGTTAACTGCCCTTAACAACATGACATACCATCACCTTTTGTATGATATGCTTATCCTGTGTCCCCTTGTTGGGAAATTGGTCTGGTCATAAGACCTAAGCTAGGTTCTCTAGATGCTTTCCGGTCCTTCCTTTGAAGCCTAAATGATGCCTGCCTATCACACACCCGTGTCAAGTTGGCCTTTCTCATGAAAATGGTCACGTCTTGAAGAGGCAGCAAATTATAGGCTCTCCCCATTGCCAAAGGCGGTCTGTTGGGAGCCGCATGGTGTTCACCTCATTCCCTTCAGTCGGCTTCCTGACAAAGATCAGACTCCCTCACCCGATCCGTCCGATATCCTTACACTCTCTGCCTCCTTACATCCTGGAGACAATGCGAATAAACTTTGGGGGCCTGTTCATGTCCTGAAGTGGTACCTGACTAAAAGGACAGCATGAAAGGGACGATATTAACCCCATCACTTATCACTTTTATGAGACCACACCGTCCAGCGGTGTCAGTACACTATTACCTACTGGACGGCTTCGGCCAGTAGATTTGCTAATCCAGTCTGACCGTTAAACTCTCGAGATGTTTCCATTGCAGAAATCTGCAAAGCGGCATGTTGGAAGTCTCCTCCTACCTCCTGCTACTTGAGGGATGTCCTGCAGAGTGACATCGCAAATGGCAGGACAATCCTACTGTCTGCAGCGCAGAGGTCAAAGGGACCTCCTGAAAAACGGACGACAAGTCATTATGGAGTTCCATTTCTTAAATTTTTACATTCCTCCTTGTTTATATGTAAAAGTGATTCTCGGCATTAGATGTGTCGTTGCCAACCTCCCACCTGGACCGGTGCTGCTCTGCATATGTAGTGACTGTTTGGGTATGTAGAGTGCCGCAGACTCCTTCCCCACATTAAGCGTGGGTCGGGTCTACAAGAGAATTCCTACCCAAACAGTCCTCTCCAGCCTGTCGTCCCCACTCTGGCTCCAACCTTTTTGAGTCGCTTTCGAGAATGACGATCATGGCAGTGAGGCCACGCTGCATTGTGGGAGGTCAGGTGCACCACGGGGGATCAAATCTTTTCAGCGAATGAATAATACGCGCATTGGAAATTTGCATATGTAGTGACTGTTGTGGTAGGTATTGTCTAGTAGACCCAACCCACACTTAATGTGGGGAAAGACTTTCCAATTAATGTCAGGTAAAATAAAAGGAATTCTCTTCATTACTACAGGAACCAAACTCTACCTGACGAGTGAGCTGAAACAGTGGAGATGAAGAGACAAAAGTTTGGTACAAGGTAAGTTGTCAAAAACCTTGTTTTACAAAGACTTCTTGATTCCCAAGTGAGTAAATTTCTTTCTAATTAATGTCTAATG